AATTATTTAAAAAAAAATCAAAAGAGTAAATGTAATTAACTAATAAATTTAAGAATAATTTATTTATTTATTTAATTTAATTAATTAATCAAAATTATTTTTTAAAACTATTTAAAGCATCTAATTATTTTAATTTTTTATTTTAAAAAAAATAAAAAATATTAAAAATTAATTTTTTTAAAATAAATTTCAAACTCTAAAAAATAATTTAGTAATTTATCTTAATTTAATTTTCAGAATTATATGGTCAATACGTATTTTTGGGGCTTTTTGACTTTACATAATTGGGCCTCGTAATAAATAAGTATTGGCTGCTTCCTCAACTGGGCTTCACATTTGAAAGAATACATTAAAAAAAGGAAGGGACTTTTTCTCTGGCGGGGGGGAAATTTAGGGTTTAGGCAAAACAGAGCTATAAATACAGAAGTTACATACAACAAATTTGGAGCGGAGATGACAGAAAACCATTTGAAGGAAGAGTCTTCCGCAGACCCTGTTCGTCATTTTATTCATATTTCTCTTCAATGTTTTCTGCCATTGGATATCTTGTGTGATGCTCTTTTCTCCTCTCTTTCTGGGTTCGTTCTTGTTTGGGTGTGCATTGATTGGGTGTGAGAATTGTGAATAATATATCTACTGCAGAGAGAGGATATACGCATGTATATACCCATATATATATATATATGAGAGGCCTTCATAATCCCAGCTAAGCTAGCTGTATGGAGCATGCTTATCTGATTCATGGGAGGCCTAAATCAAGGATGCAAGTTTCGCTGATAACACCTTTTTGTTCTTTGTTTTGGTTGGAGGTGTTTATTAGTAACTTTGTCATACATTCATACATACAAACATACATACATACATATATACATACATACATTATTATTATTATTAAAAAATTAGTAATTCTCATCTCTAAATTAGGGTTAACATGAATATGCCCAACTTAAAAATGTAATTTTTTTTAATTCAAAACATAATGTCCAGAAAAGTTAGAAAATGTTGAAAGAAATTTTTGAATAAGAAATTTCAAAGCTTCAATCTAAGAAAGAAAAATATGCAAACTTTTTTTTTTATAAACATATGTGTTTTACAGAAATATTCTCTTTAGGAAAATAATTCTTTGTTATAATCATGTTATTATAAAAATATATTTTGATAATAATTTATTATTAATAATTTATTATACCACCTTGTGGTTATGTTATATAAATTTATAATGTTTTAATAAAATATTAAATGACAATTTTTTTTTTTTTTATTATGAAACAAAATAGGAGAGTGTTTTATTTAAGTTAATTTTTGCAAATTAACTAAAGAATATTTAGTGCTGGGAAGGATTGCAGCTTAAAAGAAAAAAAGGTTTACTACTATCAAAGATAATACTAGAAAGTGTTGTAGTACATGTATATATGTATATGGTAACTAGTTAAATGTAAGTACAAATTTCAAGTCCAACAACTGAAATGAAGGGATAATACTTTAATGTGTTGTACATGTATATATGTATATGGTAACTAGTTAACTGTAAGTTGAAATTTCAAGTCCAACAACTGAAATGAAGGGGAATGTCACCTTCTCAAAAAGGATTACCTTCAAACTCTCTCTCTCTCTCTCTGAATTATGTGTATATATATATATATGTATATGCATAGTCTTCCTTTAATGCCCATAAAATAGTGACAGATGCACTAAAATATCCTTTCAGATATTATTGAATCAGTAAATCTATGTTATGAGTTGATGGTTCTCCCTGTATTTAACCTTTATATACACAAACATGTTTTAATTCAGGGACTTCAATAACCTCTTCCTGGAAACCAAGACATCAAATCTAGGGGGCATTGACTGAAAAAATTTGAAGTGATTTAACAAACATGCTACATTTGGCTCAGGAGCCTGTTAAAACAACAAGATCTCCAACAGAACTTCAGAACCAGGTACATCATGAAAATAATGAAGAAGATCCAAGTTCAATAAGGGAAATTATCAGGGCGGGCATGGCGGTAAAAATGATTTTCTTTCTTTAATTACTCAAAAATGAAAAAAAAATCCATCCAAAACATCATTAAGTATCTATACTGCTTAATCAAAATTCCTAACTCAGATTCCAACCATATGCTATCCCACATTATTCAGTCACTCTCACAATTTACTTATTGTATAGGTGGACAACGGTGAGTATGAAGAATCCAGCCATCTGCACCGAAAAGAAACATAAAATGCATCAGCAGTCAGCAACACAGCACCGCACAACCTTTGTCAAAATTCCAAGAAAACACAGCAACCATGCTTGGTAGGATGGTTAGGTATTGTAAAGTTACTTCTTTCAAATCCCGAGCAAGAGTAGCTTAATGGCATTGTACTTAGTGGCCTCTCCCATGAAAATGAAACTAAAAATTAGACAGTTCTTTCAAATGAAATTACATGGGATTCTTTTTTTGTTTTAGTCATCAATGTATCATCAGAATTTGGACCAAATTTTCTGTGCCGCAAATAAGCCTTTATTACAACAGTCAAAGAAAGGTCATCTGTGCCAAGACTAGAGGAATTACAAAAGAAAAAAAAAATACTCACAATCTAATGCCAAGAGAATCAAACCATGAACCCAAATTGCAAGTTGAAGGTTGCTTTCACAATTGAACTCTTGGAGTTAATGGGAAATCTTTTAATAGCACACATTTTGCATGTTATTTTAGTTAGAAATGTTACCCAAGGTAAATAACTCCCTACCAGCTCTGATTATTATGGGCTTATTAAGAAGACACAGCAAAAACTAAGTCATTTCCAGGGAACCAACACCAAAATTCTCTGATTCTATTCAAACATGAATAAATTGCTAACTATTTGTGGTTGGGTAAATCATTTTGTGACTAACAAATCAAGCACTCTGGATGAGGTTCCTATAGCATTATGTTGGCTGACAAAAGATATGCCTGTTATGTGATGCTTGCTAAAAGGTCAATAATTTTTATGATAGCCTCAAGGATATGTAAACCAAGGTTGAAGTCAGGAAAAGAGGAACCACTAAGGGTTTCAAATGCTCTGAGCCAGAACACTCTAGTTAGAAGGTCGATGAATCATTTCATAGAAATCTCAGTTCCTGTTATTGCAATTATAAACAGTTACGTTCCCTAGAGTAACATACAGTATATGAATACCTGAGAGATTGAGGATAGACTGTAGGGGGGACAGGGAAGAAGAGAAAAGGGAGTCATACCATACTGAATGCTGCTCCATAATAGGGATAAGCTGCTGGTATAAATCTTTCATATTCATCGTGTCTGTAGGGCCTGACTGGAATCTGCAAGCAATTTTTCAACATAATGTGACATTATACTAGCAACTCCAAGACACAGACTTTCATATTTTCAGATAAAGTAATCTATGTAAACCAAATAAAAATAGGAACTCAAGCATCTGATAAGCAATGGCCAAAAATGCCACTCTAGTATATATAAAGAGGAGCTGCATGTTTATCAACTTCACTCGGTGAGAAGACTTATGGTTTCAGTTTCACCAACCAACCTCATCAAGCAGTCGGAAATATACTATCTCTGACAAGACCTTAGCTTGTCAATTGTCTTGGCAAACAACATTTGGATGGTGCTAGTTGGCCCATAACAGGGATCCCCTCCCAGGTTTACATATGGTTTTCCCCTTTGACCATTTGTTAATGCCAAGATAAGTAGAATAAAACCATATCCAGTTCAAACAATATATGAGCAAGAAAAACAGGGCATCCACACCAGATAATTAGTACTACATTTAGTCCAATGCATGGATGCTGATATAAGAAAAATGATATTTATATTTCTCACTCTCTGAGTTTTCATTTTTGACATAATTTTCTATTCTTCTTTTTTTTTTGAGCTGTTTTGGTTTTCTTATCAAAATCTAAATATTTTCAAAATGTGTTGAGTATTTAAAAATGACTAGGAATCATATTGCATGTTCATAAGAAAGTGATGAAAAGAGTCTATCCCTATTCTCGACAAGTTGATCAACCATCAAACTCAGTTCTTAGTCATCATATGTTAATTTGAAGCAAAAGAAGTTGAGAAATAGGTTATTTATTAAACATAGAGAAGAAATTGAATACCTGTTTTGAAAGGGACAAGCTTGTATATCCAAGCCTTTGGTACTCAACCTTGAACTGGAAAACACCATAAACATCGGGAACCTTAAATGTGGTGGAATAGAGGCCCTGCAGAGGATAAACAATACGAATGATGTACCCTGAAACACATATAGAAACTAGATATTTCTTAAGAGTTTAGCAAGGAAAAGGGTACCTTTTTGTCTGTTGATAGGGTTTTCAGAACATAAGGGCTCATCATGTAGAACTGCACTTGAACATCATCTGCTACATATGGTTCCCAGCTTTTCCCAGACCATTCATGAATTTCAACCAAGTATTCCTTCAACCAACACAAAGATGTAAGGATTCATCAGATTGTTGTCCTCAGTTAAAATGTTGCATATTCAGAATTACACCATATTCAATTAGTTAAAAGAAAAAAAAGCCACCAGATCATCATTGATCCTGTACATTGAAGGTTCATTCACTTCCCCAACTTTGTGGTGCCTGACATTCACAGCCTAAAGATCACAACATAGTTCAGTACATAACTCACACAGAAAGCCAAATGGCAACTAAGTAATTTGCTCAAAAATTAATGTGACAATAAATCAGATGTCACAATGAATCATCATGCCTTACCTTAAGATGACCTCTCTCATGGAAAACCCATTTGCTAAGCTCAGTCAGAAATTGCTCGTTACTTGACTTTTCATGTCTGCTATGCATTACAAATCCTTGAAAAGATTATTACTCCTTTGAGCAGAATAAGGGTAAATGGCACAAGACAGACCCGTAAAATACATCATTCATTTCAAATCAGCAAAGAACATGGTATCTCATGAGAGACCATTACTCCTCTCACATAAAGGTGGGTCTCATACTAAAGACTTGTGGGATCCATCTCGT